CGCTGATGAATTTCTAATTTCGTAGGGAAGAGGTTTTTTTAATTTTAAATTTTTTTATAATTAATTCCGGCTCCCTTCCGAGCTCTGGAAATCAACTCAATCCTTTTTCGATTGTCTCATCATCCTCGGAAATCTCTGTAATTAATTAAATAATTCTCGTAATTTCCAATAATCTTCAGAGTTGTTCAGCATTTTCTCACGTACCGCAGTTTGCAATTCTCTAATGAATTTCCCAATCGTGAATTCGTATCTTAAGTATCTTCGATTTTTCTATACTTTACTTTACTAAATATCTTTACTTTACTTACAAATATTTGGTACTTTTTATGTTCTAAAATATTTTAAGCAAGTATCTCGGGGAGGATTGTGGGCACCACAAGTAGACCGACTCGTGAAATAACCCGACGGATTATTTCGATCTCAATGGCTGATACTGGTAGCTGTACTCGTGATTGTAGCTTGGTGGTTTTATTACGGGAAGCAGACACAAATCGCCGTAGGGGCTTGGCAAGCCCTTTCTTCCTTCGACTTCCCCTTCCTTCCTTCCCATTTCGCTGCCTCGTTGCCAACCCTCTTTATTTCCCCTCTACCTCTTCTCAACGGTTTTATCGTCCTATGCCACTTCCAGCGAAAGAGGATTGAGATTATCTAGAACCGACGTGGCATAGTCACGTACGACGAGTTAATTATCTTTTAATTATCTTGTTTATCTTGGCGGCGACAACGCCCCTGCTTTCCACCGAGCAGGGTCAGCGAGATTTTCCCCTTAAAATTACCCAGCATTACCCAGCAATACCCACGACAAAAATGAATATGCATCGGCTTGTACGATGTTTGTGACCTGCCATGTAAACGTCGCCCAGAATGTTAACCGATCGATGAGATATATAAACTAGCTTCAAAACACGTACTCAAACATGAAAAGTACATATATATATATATACCACGGGCAAAAATAAAAATGATAGAACAATAATCAAATATGAAAAGCTCTGAGAATAAATCAATAAAAAGAAACATAAAATCGTTCTCTCATTTCAAAAGTGACACAAAAAAATTAAATTTTTCAGAATAGAATAAAACTGTTTTTCAGCTTAACAGAATATTATTGACTAATCAAATGTTTTGACAAAAAGAGAATGTATATGTACACTACTGGTCAAAAATCTTTGGACACCATGCATACTTACGGTATAAGGATAAAAACGTTTAAGATAAATATGAATATTCGATCAAAACCAAAGAAAATATTATATTTATTTATAAAGTATAAACAAAACATTACATTATCATTTGAAACCCTTACGATTAGAAAAAGTCAAACCTTCTTTTCATAAAAAAAGCCACCTTTAGCCCTTAACACATTTTTTTTACTACTCTAGACATCCTGTTAATTAGATTTGGCAAAATAATTGACTCTAATTGCTTCAAAGAGACTTCTAATATATTCCAGAGGCTTTCTTGAGAGATTGGACACTGGTTCCTCACTTTACGGTCAAGTTCTTCCTATAGAAGTTCGATTGGGTTTAGATCAGACGATTGTGGTGGTCATTCCATTAATTTTAATATATTCTCTTCTTTTTTCTTCATCAAGAAATTCTTGCAAAGCTTTGAAGTGTGTTTCGAGTTATTAATTTGCTGCATAATGAATTCCCGGCCGATCAGTTTTTTCCTGCAGGAACTGCGTGATGAACAAGGATTTTGTGGTATCCTTTCTGATCGAGATTTCCATTGATTCTATACAGAGCATTCACTGCATAGTAGGAAAATGCCCCTTAAATCATTACGGATCCTCCACCATGTTTGACAGTTGATGTAATGCAGTTGGGCATCTTTTCGTTCGCTGAGAGTCGTACGTATATTCTTCTTTTGCTGCCAAATGTCTCAAATTTGGACTCATCCATCCATAACACTTTTTTAAAATCTTCTACAGTCCAATTCCTGTGTTTCTGCGCCCATTGCAATCTTTTCTTTTTATTTACTGGACGAAGAAGTGGTTTCCGTACAACAACTCTACCAAAGGACCAGCGGATCTAAATCTCCTTTTGATAGTTGCTACAGATATCTGCTTGTCGTGGCCCAAGTTGAAATCTGCTTGAATTATAGAAGCAGTTCGCCGTCTATCTCGTTTGGAGAGCAGTACGATGGATTTATCTTCAGCTTTCGTAGTCACCTGTGGCCTCCCACTTCGTGGTCGATCTTTGTTGATTTCAATTTCACGAAAACGCTTGATGGTGTATGCAACAATGGATCTGGGGATCTTCAGTTTTGAGGCAATGTTACGAATACAAAGACCATCATTGTGTAGTATGCATTGATTACGGCCCTCGTCTCTCGGTCCACATTTGTTCCGCAATCGCGGAACCACCTCTTATAATTCACACAAACATTTTTTTTTCAATTTAATAAAAAATAAAAACGTGTGTGTGTGTGTGTATTAGTACTAGAGCACCACATACCTTGTTACCAAATCCTTGTCTCTCAACTTTCTACAATTGTTTTCACGTTACGATGACACAAAAGAAATATAGCGGAAATATTTGCAAACACACGGACAAAGATACAGCGCCAAGCTGAATGGAAATTGAAATCACTGTTTTCAACCAAATGCTTATTTTTAGAAGATTATAAAGAAGGTTTGATTTTTTCCAAGAGTTCGTAAGGGTCAAATGATAATGTTTTGTTTTGTTTCTTATAAATATTTTATAAGAAACAAAATAAAATTTAAAGTATAAACATTTATAAGTATAAATATTTATACTTTATAAATAAATATAATGTTTTCTTTGGTTTTGATCGAATATCCATGTTTATCTTAAACATTTTTATGCTTATACCGTAAGTATGCATGGTGTCCAAAGATTTTTGACCGGCAGTGTATACTCTTAGAAACATAATCAAATGTCATTTCTGTCATTTTCGTTTCGTGAAAAAACCATCCTTGAAAAACCACCCTTTTTAAGTGACAGTTTTTATATCTTTAAAACAAAATTATATAACAAATCTGGAATAACTTATCAAAAGTGACATAATTCTAAGTATTACCAACAGTTTACGAGGGGGGACCCAAAAAAAACGGGAATTTTGTCATAACTTCTTTATTTCTCAATATTTTAACACCAAATTTTGATCACCTTCAAAGTATTCGCCATTGACCACAACGCACTTCTCCAAACGATTCTTCCATTGTTCAAAACAGTTTTTAAATTCACTCATCGGGATGTCCTTTAAGCCTTCCAGCGATTTTTGTTTCACCTCCTCCACAGTGGCAGATTCGATTGCAGAGGTGTTGTGCACGCGGAGTTCGTTCCCCCGGGTCAAACTGCCAACCAGAAGCTCTACTTGGAGGTTTTTGTTCCCCAGACTCAAAAGGAATATGAAAGGAAAGCGTTTTGCCACTGTGGAGGAGGTGAAACAAAAATCGCTGGAAGGCTTAAAGGACATCCCGATGAGTGAATTTAAAAACTGTTTTGAACAATGGAAGAATCGTTTGGAGAAGTGCGTTGTGGTCAATGGCGAATACTTTGAAGGTGATCAAAATTTGGTGTTAAAATATTGAGAAATAAAGAAGTTATGACGAAATTCCCGTTTTTTTTGGGTCCCCCCTCGTATGTTTACCTTGATCAGTTAAAATGACTATATAAATTCAAAATAAAACGATTTCTTCCTCAACTCGATCAAAATTGTTTTAACTCTAAATTCTCTTTCTTTAAAAAATTCTCCTTTTTATATAAAAGCAACATAAATCAAAATATGTCACTTTTGTAGAAGGTATTATGATCTCTTTAAGAACCTTAAGGACAACACAAGTTCTATTTGACGGATGGAATGTGAAATTAAATTAATTTACTTTTAATGAGTAATCTCATTACCTCATTAAAAGTAATAATGGAAAATCACATTTTTTTATACTGTCACTTTTAAAATATGAAGTGATATACTTATACTACAATATAAAAATTTGATTAACATTATAATCAATATTTCCAAGTTTAGGTTTCCATATTTTTAGATTTAAGATTTTTCAGGCTAGAAAATTTTCGATTCTCCATTATTGGATTATTCCTCAGATTCGTTTATGAGTTTTGACATATAACTCTCTCTCGGTCGCAACATTTAATCGAAAAACCCGAGTAGACTTTTGAAAAACCCGCGAGTGCATCGCGAATGCATAGCGAGTTACGTCTTCATTTGATAGAATGTATCGTGCACAAAGAGATTCCGCACAAAGCCCAGGCTGTCCCACGTTCGGTAGCGCTCGATCGAGAGCGGTGCTTTTCTTCGCGGCGGCCTTGCCAACGTGCGGATGGAGATTGGACCCTTTGAAATCGGGCACGTAGGACACCGGCCACGCCGAAATTTGAGTCTCGCTATATAAAGCAAGTCCACGTCAATCCGAAAAGCGTCGGATTTCGCTTAAATCCCAGTGCAAATTGAGATTATGTAATTGCTTTCGTTACAGAATCAGGAAAAAGATCAAAGAATTAATTTCATTATGTTGAATTGTGAGAACTTAATTAAATACAAACAATAATAAATTAAATAACTTATTATCACAATATGACGTTACTTTTTCAGCTTCAGTTTATGATTGTGTTTCAAGTCCGACAATAATTGCCGCACAGTTTAAATAATTGGAAGGCGTATTTAAAATTAATGTCTAAATATTATTAAGCACCAAGATTTAATCTCGACCATAATCGCCCTTTTTAACTTATTTGATTGATTAATTAAATATGAATCCTGTATTAGAATGAAAAACGGAAAAGTGTGTTTTAATAATAATAAAAAATGTAATAATCAGCAGTACTAGACTTTGAAAAGTCTACAAGTTTCACAACATCGTTGGAGTCTACAGATTTAAATATTATTCAGGAGGGTGTAGACGTCAATAAGAATAAAAAAATTCCAACATTCTGACCTGGTTTGGGAAAATTTCCAAACGAGTGAAGGCTCCAAAAATCCTGGAAGCTTCCACTTTACATCTTTCCCCGAAAAATATGACTATTTTCATACTGTTTTTTATTATTATCAATCGAACGACACCTTGGACGGGATCCAAGGGACGAGAAGCTCTGATACACGAAGATGATGTGTTCGGCGGGAAACAATGTGGATGGAGGAGAGCAGTTCGAACATCGTCAACATATAACGATGTTATCGCTGCGTCAGACAGTTACGCGGGATTTACGCGGGGTAAACAGGAGATGCGGCCATGTAAGTGAAATATATCCCGACAACGCTGCGGTAGGCATCGCCGATACGTTCATCACTGGAGCGCTAACATGCATTTTCGTTTGCTGCATTACGTGCAGCTAAGTCGATTATCAGCTATGAAGTACACACCTTACACATATTCAACGCCATTAATCTAAGAACATCCAGGATGTTATATCCTTCAAAAAAATTGATTTGCTACCGATAAAAGTTTTTAGTAGTTGTAACTGTAACTACATGTTTATTATAATTATGATTATTACCGCTATAATGTTAATAATAATAACAATACGTATGGTTCTATCAATAAATATATATAGTTGGCAATCCGAAAACGACTACATTTATACCGTGCATTTAGGCCGCGGCCTATACGATAGATGTCCTTGCTTATCCTGTAGGTTAAACAAAGACATCTATCGTATAGGTCGCGGACTAAATTACGGTGTAAAAGTAGCCAATGACTATAATTATAATTATCATTACTACAAAAACCACGATTTTGGGCGTTATCATTTTGCCTGACAGAATATTTTTTCTATCTATTTTCTCCATTTGATCTAACGTAATCACACACTCAGAGAAAAAAGTCGTATCAGTAACTATAAATTTGTAGTGAAATAGCGCCTCAACTATATACATATTATTAAATTCTAATAAGAATACTAGATTAAGTGAACTAAGAAAATATAGTACATTAACCATATAAACAATTTATAAATGGTTAATATTACTATATTTTCTTAGTTCACTTAATTTACTTACTGTTGTTATTAAAGCTTTATAATACATAGTTACAAATTTGTGTATGCATTTCTTATTTATTTTTGTCTTCCAAGTTTGAAACCAACGCTGCGCCTTTTATTGTAAGCGAGTGGTTTCCTTCTTAGAGAGGAGAAACTGAACTCCGCTACGTCCATCTGGTGACAAAGCCGCATACTACTCGTACTGAGCGA